TACCGGAAGGAGTGAAATTCCTCGATAGTTATTACAATCCGTCCTCGGACCCTTTTTGTGAATCGGAATAAGAATAGATTCTTTCCATTCTTCAGGTAATTTCTCGTTCACCCAGATCTTTTCAACCAACCGATGTATTTTAGAAACTCCAGCTTCCCCGCATGCCTTAATTAGTTCAGTAGGAATATTATCGATTCCCGCTGCTTTATATGATTTTAATTTACCGATAGCTACTTCAACTTCCTCTTTACTTGGTCCTTCTATCAACGGTTCAGCACTCTGGAGCTCAGAAGGAGGACACAGATCATAATTTCCCGTATTTAAAATATTGTCAAAGTGCTCCTTAAACTTATTCAATATGTCAACCGGATCGGTCAGAATATTGTTATTATCATCCCTAATTCCAGACGTTACGGGCCCTACATATTTACGTGATCTGTTTATACCTTTGTACATGTCTCTTACGTTATTTTCGATTCTATTAGTTTCTATTTCAATTATTTTATTTTTAAGATACTCCCTTTTTTTATTTTTGAGCAATTTTGTCGTTTCGTTCTTTGAGATTCGGAAGTATTCCAGATTGTCTTCGCTAGGATTATTTAGAGCTTTTAATTTAGCGGCTTTCCTTTTTTCGCACATGTTTAAGCAATCTTCATCAAACCACGGTTTGTTATTCTTATTTTCCTTTTTTCCTAGACACGAGTTACCGACCGCTTTAATATTATCCCTGATCTCTATCCATAACTTGTCAATATCCTCGTGGTCCTCGTCAGGAAGCTCTAAAGCTTCAAACCTATTCTTAACATCTAGCTCGAATTGGTTTCTAATTGATGGATTTTTTAATTTTTCCAAATTAAAATTCTCAAAATCGAAACGGTTTTCTTTTCTCTTTTTTATATTAAGTTTTTGTCGAAGTTTCGCGATTACTAATTCATGATCCGACCCACATTCTGCTCCGCGATAAGACCGTACATTGATTACACTGCTTTGCCAGCTGTGTTGTATCAAGACATGATCGATTTGATTTCGTGTTTGTGAATCCGGCGATGTCCAAGTATATTTATGAATATCCTTACGTTTAAACGTCGTACTTTTAATTACCAGGTTTTTCGAGATGGCAAAGTTTATCAGACGGATCCCATTATCATTACTATATTCGTGCAAACTTTCTTTACCAATCGTCTGAATATAAACTTCTTCCCTTCCTACCTTTGCGTTCGCGTCACCTACAATTATTTTCATGTAGTTTCGCGGTAGTTTATCATAAACCCATTCGAGTTTATCGTAAAATTCACTTTTGACTTCATCGTCACTGTCTTCGGTCGGACAATGTATGTTTATTAATGCGATTTTAAACCAACGTCCCTGAAATGTAGCTACCGAAATTCTATCACTAAAGAATTGTACGTCCCTCAAAGCGGATAGTAATCTACTCCTAATTAGAAACCCGGTACCCAAACAATGATTCCCGCTTCCTCCGTACCAAATAGTGTACTTTCCTTCCCTCATCGAGCCCTCCCCTGGCCAGCGAACCTCTTGCAGAGCCACGACATCCAAATTGTACCCATTTACCTCATTCGCGACCGATTTTAGCCCCCCTGCTGTGTTTAAACTCCTTACGTTCCACGTACCAATATTTAAATCCCTATATTTCAACTTGCGGCATGAATCCCCTAAAGCAGTCCCCACCCGGAGACCCGAACGGGGGACTAGTTTACCTCCTGATAATGAGCGTTTTACCTTAGGGAGATCCATGACTTTTTGTGGTGTTTGGTGAACTAAAGATATGTGAGTAGGGCGTTCAATCCTACGTCACACCCTCCAGCAAGTCTGGTGGGCCCCTACCTCCAGCAAGTCTGGAGGTCCCCTCCCTCCAGCAAGTCTGGAGGGCCCCTCTCATTGTTGGTCAGCGAGTCCATCGGACTTAGCCGGGAGGAACTTCCAAGGAATTTCCACCGACCATCCCCACATCCGCCACCCGTGGGACGCTCCCCATACGCGGTAATGAGCCCGCGCGAGGTTCCCCATTATTTTAAAGAATAAAAATAAAATCAATAACAGTTGATCTACATGAATGAATATTTAATATTAAATAAATTAATAAAACATGAAAAGTCGACTAGATGGCTAAGTTCTTCACTGGTCCTTAATATCAGTAATGCGGCTGAGTGAGAGGCGAAGGGACCTCTTTGAGTCCTGCCTTTCCTTCCAAAAGTGGAAGAAAACAAATTTTCCTGAGTGAATGAATTTCGTAAATATTGTATAAAATTATGTGTGCTTTTATGTTGTTATTTCAATTTCTTTTTTAGATTAGTTTAGTTTATATACATTAACTTTTAGTATTATTATTTTGCTGTTTAATTTATCTTTGTTCATTTTATATACAGAATGAATGAGCTACTCTATCACTATTACTAGTTATATAATACTAATATTTCTCAATAAAAACTTATAATAAAAACAATAAAATAAAAAGATGGCTAAGCCAAGCCCTGGAAGTAGGTACGCCGGTATTTGACCACACTTTATGTTCGTATTATTGAAATTTTAATTTAGTATTAAAGATTATTTAATGTAGCAACATATCCTAGCATTTTAAGATTCTTTCATCTGCACCCTTCCACTATCTGCGGGGGGCGGGCGGGATTTCGGACTGAAGCCCCCCTCCCCAAAATGGTAGAACATAACCCAGTCTTATGAAAAAAAAAATTAATAATTACCTCTTAAAGCATTATTGTTCGTATAATTACATTTGATATTACTTAATGAATCACTCAAACTCTATTTCATATAAGAAGTTAGTTCCTTTCTTTTTCTTCCTACGTAGTTATCGGTATATATATATTTTTTAAATCTTTCTGGCTGAAGCCCTCCCCCCCCAAAATCCTAAATCCAGGATCCGCTAGTTCACCCTTCCATTTTTATCTGAAGATTTTATTACATTTCCAGCAGCTAATTTGGATTGAGAGATCATCTCCCTGCCTTAAATGTTTAAATAATAATACAATATGTAATACTGTCAACTGATATAAAGAAATAAATTTAAAAAAAAAAAAATATATATGTACATAAATTTATTTTTATTTACAGTATTATATTGTTCGTTTTTCATTAATTATCCGTATTATGTTAATTACCACTCGTTATTTATATATATATTATAAACTCCCTTTTGTTTTTAGTTTTTTTGGTGGAGGGAGAGATTATTGTCCCAACCACAATAGAAAGTTCGCGGCTATGGAGATTCAGATATTGAAAAGGAATATTGAATACTTTTTGAACCAAGATTCGAGGACTTTAGAACGAGAGAATTGTAAGACCGAAGAGTCTGGACGGATGAAGAGAGGCAGCGTCCCAGCGTCCTTACGAAGAGTACTGAAGGATGAGCAAAGTTCATATAATGAAGAAATGAAATTACGTGGTTCTAAGTAGTCAAATAAAAAAAAGTAATAAGAATAAAAATTTACTGTTTGTGCTTAAGACCACAAGATATAAGTGAAATCATCAACAGAGCGAGATTAATAATACGAAATATAATTTCTTCCATTATTGCCTCCTAACACGGCATCCCATTAAGGTATAATTTTGAATAATAGCTCATTTCAAAGAGGATGAAATGCCCTCGCTAACAATATGCAGATCCGATTTTTAGTTTCCAAGATATTTTAATCAAAATGCAAAAACATTTAAACTGGTCGACTCAAACCGACATTACCACAATGAGCGTGACGGTTCAGTTTTAATCAGTGGTTCTATATAACCTCATTATTTTGACACTTTGGGGGTGTAGATCACGCCAAACGGCTCGATATTTTTGAAGGCCATCTTTTTTTGCTTGACTTTGTGCTCACGTTATCTTAAGATTCAAGTGGAAAGCAAATAGATATTTACGAGTTTTTAGTACCTAATTAAATAGACAAAGTTTGCCTACCTCGAGATTGAAAACGCCCCAATTCCGAGAATTATCGTAAATAAAATAGTTGTAGGTTACGATGAGAAGAACCTATTTACGAAGTTTCAGCCGAATGTTAATAATTTAGTAAAATGGGATCTGTACCATGGACTATTTCATTCACTCCTCACAAATAAAAAAGAAAACGAATTGCAAAATGTGCCTAAAGAAGTTCAATTATAAATTCAATTCTAATTATAAATAGTATAATGAATATTGAATCTAAATAAATACTAAGTATAATGAAGAAAATACTTTGAACCTCCTGATTGAACGTGTTTAGGTTGAACCCAATTTTTTTACGATAGATATTTTTTTCATGAATGAAATTTTTAGAGTTAAAACAGTACGATATACGCATCAGTGATGGAATTTATATGTAAATAATAAGCTTCCTTGTTGATCTAAAGGTTCCATTTTTTTCTAGATTGAAAACAATGCCCTCTATTGACAACTTTATGAACAAAGTTCCCAAAAGAAAATTTTAGAATGCCTATCATTGTTCTTTCTATAGTGCTCTGAGATCAGTGTGTTTCTTACATTCCTACTAACAGTTTTGCTAAGAGTAAGTTGAGCATTTATTTTTTGTTATCTTTTTAGTTAAATAAAAATTTGAGAATTTTTCTTAGGTATGTCCATTACTGGTACCGATTCCCTGTAGATTACTAGAACAATTGAATTTTGGGTTGTTCACCACTAATGCAAAAAAGGTGTTTTTTTTTTAAATGGAGATTATACCTGCATAGCTGTATATTTGTTCAATTTTAAAGTGCTAAATAGAAAAAGGAGACCCTAGAGATTCGAAATGTCCAACGAAGAAGTTTTATAACTATAATAATTACTTTGGAATTATCCAAAAAAGATAAAAGTTTCCTAAGATATGACCATCGCTGGTGTGCTCGCCCTAATTATTCGTCGTAAAAAAAAAAAGTTACAGCGCCTTCAATTAAAAACCGCTAATAAAAATCCCGTAAACTATTAAAAATTGAGAACTAATGGAGTAACGGATCTGAAGGAGCGAGCAGACGAGGGGGGGGGGAGAGGGGGACTAACGGGGGCCGGATGAGCCATCAGCTTTATCGAAAGCTCCGTTAGTACTCTGCGGTGAAAGGACTCCTTCCCTCAGGATCTGGGGTCTGCGGAGGATAATCCGGGAAGAAAAGAGGGAAGCCTCGGCTAGAACGGGGGAATTCCTGGATGCGGGGCCGGGGCTAAGGAGGGCTGTCGGGAGGCAGAATTTAAAGTGTGGCAAATTTCGAGTTTTTTTTTTAAAGATTATTATAAGAATATTTCTTTTTAACTTGTTGTTATACAACCAAAATATTTATTCCGACATTAGACATACATTGATATTTATTCCGAAATACTTTACCTAAAACACTGATAGAAAATGTTACGATACGGCAGTAATATTCCGTTGTACAGACCTTTTTATAGAATTATTAACATCCATCTGAAACTTTGTAAATAGTTTCATCTCATCGTAACCTACAACTATTTTATTTACGAAAACTCTTGGAATTGGCGTGTTTTCAATCTGGAAGGGGGCAAACTTTGTCTATTTAATTAGATACTTTTTTTATTTATTGTTTATTGAGTATTAATACAGTCTGCCACACTGAAGGGCAGTGGTACTAGGGCTATAGTATTCATTCGCACAATATGTACATAAGAAAGGAAAATAAATATAAATAATCAAGTAAGAAGAGAAAGAAAAAAAAAAAAAGATAAAGTATAAACAAGATAAGTAAAATAACAGATTAGCCAAATGATAACAAAATAAATAAAACACATTCACACCTATGTACAATATTTACATTGGCCCAGGGGACTCTGAGTCATGCTTTGGAAATGCCCAACTGTGGAAGCCAAAACAGGACTCCAGGAGATCCCAGTGCTTCTCTCCCAGCCGCGTCACTGGTATAGTAAGCCAGTGGAGGCTGATGGAGGGCACTAGAGCAACAGACGCTCAGGACATGTATTAGGTACTAAAAACTCGTAAATACGAACTTGCTTTCTACTTGGATCGTAAGATAATTTGATCAAAAAATCGAGAAAAAAAGTGGCCTTCAAAAATATTGAGCCGTTTGGCGTGACCTACACCCCCAAATTTTCAAAATAATGAGTTTATATTGGACAAACGGCCCTATATTTTTGTAGGCCATATTTTTTATCGATTTTTTTATCAAATTATCTTACGATCCAAGTAGAAAGCAAATGGGTATCTACGAGTTTTTAGTACCTAGTTAAATAGAAAAAGTTTGCCCCCCTCCAGATTGAAAATCCCCCAATTCCAAGAGTTTTCGTAAATAAAATATTTGTAGGTTATGATGAGATGAAACTATTTGCGAAGTTTCAGGCGGATGTTAATAATTTGATAAAAAGGGGTCTGTACCAGCACCGCGGATCCAGGATTTAACTTTGGGGGAGGCTTCAGACCGAAAGCTTTTTTTTTCATAAAAATAACGATAATTACTTTGGGCAAAATAGAAAGAAACTAACTAACCTATATGAAATGGTGTTTAAGTGATTCCTTAAGTCCTTTTAAATGTAATTACACGAACAATAATACTTTAAGAGATAATTTTAAATTTTTTTCCCATAAAACATGGTTATATTTTACCATTATGGGGGGGGGGCTTCAGCCCGAAAGCCTCCCCCCCGTAGATCCGCCCGTGCATACCACGGTCTATAAGTGAAAGAGGGATCAATAAAATTAAGCTTCAAATTATTAATATTCTAAGTGGTCTGAAACTATTCTATTCGGTTTTTCTTGTTGCTGATCACGAATTTGTTGGCACTTTTTTTTGCATTTTGTAATTCGATCATAGCCAAACGGAAACTAAAAGTGCTCTTTTAGTTGTGGATGGAATAATTTTGTAACTCCATTTTAAACCTCATTCAGAGAATTTGGAGGTTTTCCTTAAACATAATGAGCCATTGACTGGAGAGGTGTTTTAAAAAGTATGTTACACGGCGAGCCTGTTTTTTCTCGTTAAATTACTTAATTTATTGACGTACTGAAAATTTATAATTTAGCCTAAATAACCTGATTATTTTGACACATAGGGATTGAGGTCACGTCAAACAGCCCAATATATTTATAGGCTTCCTGTTTTCTCAATATTGTCATTTAAATTCCGATCATTTAAATAACGATTCAAGTTAAAAGCAAACGGCTATAAAAACCGTCTGACTCGAGGGTTTTTGGCATTAGGGTGACATCTCTACTGTTTTCAATTTTTATACCTTCTGCCGTTTAATTTGTAGTTAATTCTTTGCACTAGCGGATCCAGGATTTAATTTTGGGGGGTTTCAGCCCGAAAGATTTTTTTTTCATATATCTAACGATAATTAATTTGAAAAAAAAAAAGAAAGAAATGAACTACCTATATGCTATGGTGTTTAAACGATTCTTGAATTCCTATTAAATGTAATTACACGAATAATAATACTTTAAGAGATAAATTTTTTCCATAAAACACGGTTATATTTAACAATTTTGGGGGGGACTTCTGCCCCAAAGCCCCTCCCTCCGTCGTAGATCTGCCCATGACACATGAAAGATATGGCTGAGCTTCATGCCGCAAACTGGAAAGCAGCATTTTTTTCTACAAAACATGGTTATATTTCACCGTTTTGGGGAAAGGGCTTCAAACCGAAAGCCCCCCTCCCGTAAATCCGCCTGTGATTCTTTCGTAGATCTCGCATTAAAACATTTTTAGCAGATAAATCCGGTCATTAGGCTTAACCGTAGAATAGCGATTAATAAAATTGAGGCCATCTTATTTATAATGCGTACAGTTCACCTACGCTTCGTATCCTTTCTAAATCCTGACTGCAAGAAGGTTACAGGTCGAAGGAAAGCGGATCGCGGTGGGGGAGAGCTCTCGAAAGCGTGCCTTCCTCTTTTCCACGGCTCTCATTAAACCTACTCTCTCGCATAAAGCCGGCTTATATGGTCGCAAAGATCGATATGGTGGTGGACCGTTGCTGAGAAAATATCGATTAGTCATCAAAGATATTTACGAGCCTCCGTGGAATTATTATCGTTGTTCATTTGAGAAGAGAGGGCGGTTATTATAGCCTATAAATCGATAATACTTCTCCCAAAGAGGATGTCTAGGAGCAAACCTTTTTTTGTTCTAAAATATTATAAAGCATTCAACTTGAACTAAAAGTCATGAATAGTTAAAAGAGTAGAACGAGACCTCAAGGCTTCGAATTTTTATTTTTATTTTGTCTATAGAATAGAATAATAAAATAATAATAATAATAAAAGGCTTAGCGAACCCAAAGGTTCGATGCCGACACCACCAATCGCTTACTACACACCTCCCTCCACCGTTCGCCGTCCAAACCCAAGCCCTTCAGATCGGCTTTAATGCAATCTTCCCACCTTCGCTTCGGTCTACCCCTCGGACGCTTACCATTCGGCACAGCAAATATTAACCTTTTAGGAATTCTCTCGTTACTAAGCCCAACAACTTTACAAGCCCATTTGATTCGCCGCGATGAAATTACCTCAATTATATTACCCGGATACAGCTCACGCAATTCGGCGTTGTGTAACCGTCTGAACTCTCCGGTTAACTCATCCTTCTTCGGTCCGAATATTCTACGCAATACTTTATTTTCAAAAACCTTAAGACGCTGCTCATCCCTTAATGTAAGCGGCCAAGTTTCGCATCCATAAAGAACTGTAGGCAAGATAATTGTTTTATAGATTCTAATTTTTAAGTTTCGGGACAAGAGGCGCGAACTAAGTAGTTTTGTCACAGAAAAATAACAAGCATTCCCCGCCTTCAGTCTAACCTTAATCTCTTCAATTTCGTTTTTTCTAGTTATCGTAGAACCTAGATACCTAAATTTATCTGCCTGTTCAAACATATTACCATCTATATCGATATCACCAGTAGTATCGCCATTCTGCAGCTAACCATATATTTTGTTTTATCCACGTTTATTTCGAGTCCTAGTTCTTTACCGGCTTTCATTAACGTTGTCGTATTTAGTTTTATAGTTTCAACGTCTTCGCTTAACAGTACCAGATCATCAGCATAGCCCAGCACGGATGTTGTCCCGCCCAGATCCAACCCTTTCTCGGTTCGCATTACCTCCCTAATGGCATGTTCTAATGCCAAATTGAACAGGAGAGGCGAAAGAGAATCCCCCTGTTTTAAGCCCGAACGAACCTCAAATTTTTCGGACAAATTATCACCGATTCTAAGAAGATAAGAAAAAAAAATAATAAAGAAAATAATAAAGAATTAAAAAATAAAAATGTATCAAATTCTCTATTAAAACCAGCTCGAATGGTTAGCAACTATCTGACTGTTTTTGGGATAGGAATTGGAATAGGAGAGTTTTGAATGTGGATATGGATGCGGAATGTCGAATTTTGATAGGGAGGGAATTCCAGAAAGTTACAGAGCGAACAATAAAGGAATTTTGGAATGAGGCAGATCTGTGAGAAGGCATGTAAAGGTTAGAAGGTCGAGATCTTGTAGACAGGGAATGGACTGAGGATTTGAACTGGAGAAGGTTGTAGGCGTAAGAAGGACGATGATGTGGTAGAGGAACGTACCTAGGAAATATTGTCTTCGGAAGGAGGGGAAAAGCCACTTTAACTCAGCGTAGTGGTGAGAGACACGGGAGTATCTTGGGGCCCCGATCACAAATCTTACGCAGCTGTTCATTAGTCTTTTCAGTCTATCACGGAGCTCCACAGAGAGTCCGCCGTACTTTATAAATAGGTTCTTCTTATCGCAACTTAAAACTTTTTTATTTACGAAAATGGGGCGTTTTCAATCTGGAGATCGGCAAACTGTCTATTTAATTTGGTACTAAAAACTCATGAACACATCCATTTGCTTTTCACTTGAGTCGTAAGGTAATTTAAATGATAATATTGAGAAAACAGAAAGCTTTTAAAAATATTGGGCTGTTTGACGTGACCTCAATCCCACTAGCGGATCCAGGATTCAATTTTGGGGGATGGGGGCTTCAGTCCGAAAGATTTTTTTTCATATATATAACGATAATTAACTTGAAAAAAGAAAGAAAGAAATTAACTACCTATATGAAATGGTGTTTAAGTGATTCTTGAAATCCTATTAAATGTAATTACGTTACTTTAAGAGATAGTTTTTAGTATTTTTTTTTTATAAAACATGGTTATATTTTACCGTTTTGGGAGGGGCTTCACCCCAAAGCTCCCCCTCTTCCTCCCCCCGTAAATCCGTCTGTGCTCAATCCCTTTGTGTCAAAATAATCAGGTTATTTAGGCTAAATTATAAATTTTTAGTACGTCATTAAAGATTAAGGTATTTAATGTGAAAATGCTTGCCCACCGTGTAACATACTTTTCAAAACACCTCCAGATTTTCTCTATCATTCCAGTCAATGGCTCATTATGTTTAAGGAAAACCTCCAAATTCTCTGAATGAGGTTTAAAATGGAGTTACAAACTTCTTCCATCCACAACTATAAGAGCACTATTCTGAATAAATCGAAATGGGCAAATTATGGAAGCTGGGTAGTTCACTTCCTGTTGTGTTAAGAAAAAAATTTTATGTACAAAAATTTCAGATAACTTTAATATGTTTAAGATTGAATAAAACCATTTTTTATATAACATCTCTCTAAAAAGGAGATATTTATCATAAAGCAAAAAAAGTTCGAAATTTCAATTTTTTTTTTGAAAAGGCAGAGAACCCACAAGGTTTTCAAGGTTGGAAACTTAGATTTTTTATAATCACTACATACCTACCAATTTATAGAAAAAAATTTGATGTACCTGACCTTTTGCAAGGTAACATGTTTAATTGTAGGTTATGATAAGATAATGCTATTCACCAAATTTTAGGCGCATTTTATTTGATAAAAAGGTACCGCTGTACCATGGACTATTTCCCACAAATATCCTATATATTATTTCTAAAAGGTTAATTGTCGGTACGCCATAACTTTGCAATTCTTCATCAAATCCTATGATTGACCACTCATTTCGAAGATATTCTTCTCCTTCACATGTGAAAAATATTCTGTCCTGAAATTTCTGGAAAAAAAGTTATGAAGGAAAAGAAACTTTATTCGCTAATAACTCAAAAAGTATGCATTTTTTTTCTACCCATGATAATAGAAAGATTACTAAATTATCAGCAAAACAAAAAATAAATCGGACAAAGATACAGTCCATTAGTTTTGGTATACTTAATAATGTTTTCCTCTTTAAAGATATTGCAATTAGGATAGTCTACTACACTTTTTTTCCTGGCTGATGTATTATTTCTTTATAATTTTTTAAAGGTATTTGTTTGTTCTTACATTTTATTTTTTTAATACTTTAGAAAATCCCATGATCGGGGCATTATTTTGTTTTTATTATCTTTCCAGTCAGCGTTTAAAAATAGGTCCTAGCAAAGCAATTTGTACAAATATTTTGGTCTATTATGTTAAATGGAATATTGTAATCGACCAAGGAAAAAATATTAATTCCTTCCTCACATAATACATAGGATCTACTTATTTCCATATTGTTTTTCTATTTCTTCACTAATCAAAATTTTCTGCGAATTATTCGCATGGGCCAACTAGTTTCTAGTAATTCAAAAACTATTAGAAAAAATAATAATATACAATATACAGGATAAGCCGGGAGCAAGAGACAAAACTCCAGGAGGGGGTTGTGTTTACACGAAAATAATAATAAAAAAAAACATATGTTCTCATTTCATTTAAATTGTATTGGATAACTCGGGAGAGTACTCCCTGTCTGCCTAACGGAGAACCAATCTCTATTTACAAATTGTACAACTGTTCATTTAATTGTACTACTCATTCTTCAAATTGTACAACTGTAATTTACATATGTTCTGCAGTTCAGATTGTATTATTTTTTATCAACGTAAAATAAATGGAACGAAACCATAGTTCCGACAGATTTTTAATTTCTTTAAAAATCTATATTATACATAGCGCCTTATTGCAAATTTATGTTATGATATATTTATAATTAATCTTATTTCCAATTTATAACCCTAAAATTTATTCAACCAGCTTTATATAAGCCCAACATAAATTTGAGCCTTTCATTTCTAAAAGTTTATTGTGCGTTATATGTCTCCTTTTATAATTAATATATAATAATAATAATAATAAGGCTTAGCGAACCCAAAGGCTCGATGCCGACACCACCAATCGCTTGTTCCACACCTCCCTCCACCGTTCGCCGTCCAAACCAGTCCTTCAGATCGGCTTTAATGCAATCTTCCCACCTTCGCTTCGGTCTCACCCTCGGACGCTTACCATTCGGCACAGCAAATATTAACCTTTTAGGGATTCTCTCGTTACTAAGCCCAACAACTTTACAAGCCCATTTGATTCGCCGCGATGAAATTACCTCAATTATATTACCCGGATACAGCTCACGCAATTCGGCGTTGTGTAACCGTCTGAACTCTCCGGTTAACTCATCCTTCTTCGGTCCGAATATATCTACGCAATACTTTATTTTCAAAAACCTTAAGACGCTGCTCATCCCTTAATGTAAGCGGCCAAGTTTCGCATCCATAAAGAACTGTAGGCAAGATAATTGTTTTATAGATTCTAATTTTTAAGTTTTGGGACAAGAGGCGCTGAACTAAGTAGTTTTGTCACAGAAAAATAACAAGCATTCCCTGCCTTCAGTCTAACCTTAATCTCTTCTTCATATTATATCATATAGTAATTAATATATTATATTCAAGGGGAAATGTCTAGAAAACTAACTGCTGTTGCCCAAGTAAAATCAAACTACTACCTTCACATGAATATCACCATTTCCTATACATATTTTTGGTCTAAAGTCTTCATTTTGTATTAGGAGAGGACGTTACACATCGCATATACAGCACTAGCGTTTCAGGTTTCATTTTGGAGGGAGGGGGCTTTTTAAAGACTACATTAAGCTCTTAGAAAGGTAAATAATCGTCAGCATAATTAAACCAACTCCTGTAGTGTTAATTTTGTGCCTTTATTCTCTTCTTTTTTTTATATTATTTGTTTTTCTTACTATTTTAACCACTAGAACATGATTATGATTTTTTTTATAGATTTCAGTTATATACCTATATATTTTATTTTATTTCTCAATGATAATGAAATCTTAAGAGCTCTTATGACAATGTATATATTTATTTATTTTAATAATTTAACGATTATATACAAATAATAACAGCCTATTTTTACAACAGTTTCAAATGTTTGACAAGAGGATCTATCATTTCCGCAGGAGCCGGTCCTATTCCTAGAACTGTCGCAGAATATCTGGCAACTTGGGTCCTCCCGGCATCTCGAATAACATTAGCTACGAGATTGGCAGCTTTAGCTTTGTTTCTTAGAGCTATGAGTGTTTCCTCTCCTTTGCCGTCCAATTGGAGTACTATCTACAACAGTAAAAGGTTATTATGAAAAGAAAAAGAAAGCTGAAGGGTCTTATGCATATTAGCCTCGCCAGTTATTTTTACAATACGTAGTAACCTGTTATTTTACATATTTTTTTTATTTCTTTATTGAGTCATATTCAATTTTGTCACAATAATGGATATTAATAATAGAGATGGAGAATCTCACTCACATTCTATATAAAATAAATAATCTATATAGGTATATTTTTTTAAATTTTACTTATCTTTAAGTGTTTTTTTTTTTATTTATTGTTTATACTTTTTGATAAATATTTAGTTGTTATTTGTTTCTGTTTATTTTATATTTTCTGTACATATGGTATGAATGTAGTCTTACCTCATTATAATTATCGTCCAAGTAACAGAATATTATATACCTCAATTAATAATATATATATATATATATATAAACAAAAAGAAACTTAAACTAATCAAAATAACAACTTAAATATTTACAAGCATTCATTCAGGAGAACTTCAAGCTGGGTTTTTCCCCCCACATGTGTAAAGAAAAGCTAAGCCCTGGGAGATCTCAGCACCTCTCTCTCAGCCGCATTACTCATATTAATGACTAATAAAAGCTAAACTGAATCGCTGTATCCTTTTTTACGTAATTAAAAAAAAACACACGGTATTGAAAACTTTAATTATAATTAAACTAATTCACATTTTTTTTTCTAAAGGTTATACACACGGCCAAAACTCCTTATAACTGGTATTCATTCTTATGGAGCATTACAACTTCCTGAGAAAACTTAAAAGACTTTCCTCTCGTCATTATTAAAACTGGAATATAATCTAAACAAATTAATTTTTCTAAATAAATTAATCTGTTCAATATTTCTCTCTTCTACTTTGGTACATAATATTTAGTTTCCAATTTATTGATTTTAATACAAATTACGCCAATTTTTAATTTGGTCAACTTAATGAATACAAAATCTTATTACGATGTTTTGGCTCGTCAAACCATTTTCAAATCTGTCCATTATACTTCTTATGTGAATTATGTGTGTCTTGTCTTAATAACTAGTATCACGATTGTCAAGTCTACCTTTAACTTATTATGTGTTAACCCACATGTTGTCGGTTTCATTTATATTGAGTGACTGTCAATAGATCAATCAGTCATGCAATAGAAATGAAACCGACAATATGTGGGTTAACACATAATAAGTTGAAGGTAGACTTGACAATCGTGATACTAGTTATTATGAGAAGACACACGTAATTCACATTAGAAGTATAATTGACAGACTTGAAACTGGCTTGACGAGCTGAAACGTCGTAATAAGATTTTGTAGTCATTAAGTTGACCCAAATTAAAAATTGCTGTAGTTTGGCTTAAAATCAATAAATTGGGAACTTAATTAATCTGTTAACATATCTTTGTATAATAGAAGAATAACAATATTGATTCAAACATAACTGATACTTTTCTATAACAGATACTTTTCCTGCTTAAAAATTACTGGCAGGGCTAATCTGCAAAACACCCTAGCTGAAGGATGAAACTGATCGATTGATTAAACCTACTTTCGGTTGACCGGATTCTTCCCACTCGTTCAATATATCAGGACAAGAAGAAGAAGCAGATTTGTAGCAGCCGAGGACGGCATGAGCGCACTGAGCGGCTATCTTTCCTTTCCTCATTCCCAGGTCATTCCTCACCACGAGTACCATCTTCACATTACCATACCCTTCCCGTTTAGTGCCCACAACAGGGACGCCTTTAAAATTTAATGCTGGCAGGCGTTTTGTGAAAAAAGCAGCTACCACACCTAAGGCAAATCCAGTGGCGATGCCAAGAGTATACTCACCCATAACTGAAAAAAATAAAATTAAATAATATGAAAGATAAATTGATAAAAATAAAAATGCAGGAGATATATATAAAATCAATTGTTTGGAATTCTCCAGTATATGTTATGGAGAAACGGACAAATTTATTAGAGGAGCATACAAATGATTACAAAAATAAAAAAAGTCCAAAATACAATTTAAAAAAACAGCACTGGTACATCATCGTGAAGAGAAAGGGCATAGATTTGACTTAAAAGATGCAGAAATTAACCACAATGAAACAAATATTTTAGAAGAAAAATTCTGGAAGTGATAACAATTACAGAAAACTTGAAAAATGCAATTTTAAATCAGATTCAGAAAACATGAACCAAAACTATACAGAGCTTCTAAAAAAGTTAAATAGATAATGTTAATTCTTATAACTGATAAACATAATAAATTTAAATTAAACTCAATAGAGGACGTCTTGATATTGTAGTGAATCAGTCTAGACTAAAGCGTAGAAACAATAATATAAAAATGGTGGTGAAAAAGAAAGAAAATATGGTAAAAGTTTTTTATTTTTGTTTTTTGATGTTCCTTTTTCAGTGATAAAATAAATTTTGCCCAACAAAGATGTTTACAAAAAAAATGTTTACAAAACTTTCTTTTAATTATGACCTTATGAGTGATTTATTTAATTGAAGGATAAGTATCGTTAAAAATGACGTGATCTAATGAGGAGAAAAAAAAGGCTCCTAGTGGAAATTGAAAAGACAAAAGCAACAAAAAAACTTATATTTAGTTTTAAATAAAAAATATTTTAAAATGACTTTTCAGAGCCAAAATGTAAAATAATAATTCTTATTAAATAGATGTTTTGATTATAAAATAAAAATCCTTTCCAAAAGTCATAGCAAACAAAAATAACTGAGTTACTTAAAAAATATGTACATACATACAAATTTAATTATTTCAAGTGAGTATTACATGCATATCCAATTAATAAAATCGTAAGTATTTATTTAGTTTAATATTTTATTATCAGTACTTCCCTGGACAGTTTATATAATCCAGCAACCCTTTTGCAGCAATTAGTTCGGATAACTTAGATTACTCTTGCCATAAAATAAATTTTTTGTACATAAGAAAATGTTAGCTTGCAATCATTTTAGAGTTAACTTTATTTTTAAACTAATTAATGCAGCGAAAATTTGTTAAAAATATATTGATGATTAGAATTGTTTTTTTCTTATTTATTCAGAAGAAGATGTATAATCTCCACTTATACACCTTTTCTTATCTTAATATCGGCTATGTAAGTAGAATAAGATCAGTCATATATATTTTAAGTATTTACCTTTCATTGCATTAACTTATTTTTATACTCTCATAACTTTAAATGAACCAACACATCTATTTTGAATTGAAAACGGAAGGTTATCAACAAAGCACGTTGATCGACATAGAGGTTCTTTGATTCAAACATTCAGAATAATGACGTCATAGAGGTGGAATTCTAATTGATGTTTTCAATCGCATCTAACCTTTTCTGAAATGGAGTTTTGGGAAACATCGGGTTCCTTTCAATTTTTTTAAAAGTAGGATTTTTTTTAAATAATCCTGAAATTAAGAGAAATCCATTAATCCGTTGAATCCACCACTGATGAATAACGATCTAAGCTGAGTTTAGAAACGACCTGCTGGGTACTAGCGGAAAGTTTATTCTCTTGAAAGGTTACAAAACATGAAAAATAAAAAATATACTAGGAAATTTTTAACTACTAAATTGATGAGTTTCAAAACAGATATAAATATAGTTAGAAAACAAACTGAATATAAGTAAATTTGTAAAGTAAATTTGAAAAATAGCACTGAGGTTATAGTTATTATAATAGAGGTTATACGTACAACGGCTCCAAAAGCCGATAATAATAATGAGCTATCGGTGATTCAATCGATTAATAAAGGAATGCAGAATTTCATTTTTTTTTTGACCCATCGATGAGTTTAGAGATAGTCTACTGATATATTTCCAATGCTCAGCGCTAAGTTTAGAAACAGTATTTGTGTAGTGTTTGGAAACTTTTTATACGAAAATCCTCATTAACTTCTATTTATTAATCATATAAAAAGTAGCCAATCAATAGATTTTACTAAGATAATTTAGAAAATCGCTTAAAAAAATTGGTATAATCATGGGATGTTACCTTAGCTTTTTCATTAAAATACTTTGTTTTTTACGATCTTCCCCAAAACAACTCTAAAAATTATGATTAAATTCGTTATATTTCTGTGAAATAAAATGTTCTTAAATATTGGATAAGTTTTGATCTCATTGAATTATTTTGACAGGGCTTAAATGGACAATTTTCTATATTTCTTCCTCTTTAGTACCTTTAATTTTGATTATTAGAAATAATAAAAGGTCTCTCATTGTTTATAGTAAGGGATAAATATACAAAATGGATAAATATGAACTGTGAAAGAATTTGATACTTAAAGAAAGCATCTCGGATTCCACAGGAGAAACATTCTTGCACTTAAAATAAATTTTGGAAATAACACTGTTAATATAGTTGTATGCTATACCGTTGGGAATCTTAAAGAAATAAATGTTTCCATAGAATTTATGATTAGAACATTATTTTTTTTTAGTGTGAAAAACCAAAAATGTACAATGCCTAAATATAACTGTCATAATTTATATTTATCTCTTTAAGTAACACATTTAGGGTTTAATAACTTTTTAAACAATTCATTTCTTCTGAAAGTAGTGTGATAAGTAAAACTTAAGTAATGCATCCACCACTTTTTTTTTTTTTTAATTTTTAATGTGTAAATGCTATTTGATTTATATATATATATATATATATATATATATATATATACATATATATATATATATATATATATATATATATATATATATATATATATACATATATTTGGCTCTACAGACCTTGTAGATCTTTGGCCGCCTGAACCAACCTTTGTCCGCCTCTGCCTATCTTGGGCTACTGCTTTCCAGTTTGCGACATGAAGCTCAGCCATATCTTAGTTTATCCTATCTATCCATCCTGATGGATTGCTGCGAGCTATATACCCCATCTTAACCTTCTTCTCTTCTTATCATGAGATATTGATTGACCAGTTTCTTTTAGCAGTCCTTTATTGTTCCTCCTCCTCCATGTGTCAAGATTCTGATCCCATATAGGTCCTGTTATCGTACTGAGGACTTTTTTTTCGAATCTCTCAATTCTACTTTCTAGGGTACTGGTTAGTGCCCAGTTTTCACAGCTTATATATATATATATATATTATATTATAAGAAGAAGAAAGAACGTTAGATAAGATAGTAAACAACACATCGAAAAGACATTATGTCTTAATGACCGCGATGGGTTATAATAACTCTCTGTTAGCTATTCTTTCAGTTGGTAGAAAAATGTTGGTCGAATATCTCGTTGTGATCTCAATTGTTGCAGGTATACTTACGGAACATTTATTTATTATTCTGGATAGAATACAGTATCTGTTTAAACCGTTAGATAAAATAACAAAATTAAGGAGGTGTAAATTTCACTAAGAGCATCTAATCCTCGGGACAGACTTCTTTTTATCAAATTATTAACTTTCGTATAAAACTTCGTGATTTTCTTCATCTAACCTAACGTACTACTTTTTTGTTTGTTAAAATTCTCGGAAATAGGGCGTTTTCAATAATGAAAATCGGTAAAGTTTGTCTATTTAATGGTTCACGAAAAACTCATGAATACCCTTTGCTTTCCACTTGAAGCGTAAGATAATTGGATCACAAAATCTAAAAAAAAAATGAAGCCTACAAAAATATTGGACAGTTTGGCGTGACTTCCATCCCCAAAACTTCAAAATAACGAGGTTATATAATTCAAATGGCCCAGTATTTTTGTAGGCTACATTTTACTTTTAGATTTTGTGATCCAATTATCTTACGCTTATAAAATATATATATATATATTTTATTTTATTAGTAGTAATATGAAATGGTTAATTATTCAAAATAAATATTAATCTCTGTTAAACTTTTTCAATTACAAAAAAATGAATAGATTATGTCACTTTTGAGAAAATTGTTATAATGTGTGTATTTCGATTAAATTTAGCCAATTTCAGTAAGTCGATTTTAGCGAAAACATTGGCATATCTTCCCAAGCATACGCCTATTTAATTAAGGTACACAATTTTGGTTTAATACAACTTTTCGTTTTTGAGCTAGGCTGTTTACATAGACAATTTTGCAAAATTTGATTATTTAGACTCAGGTGATTTTAAAACATGTATTTTTGTTGAAAAATCAGATTCAAAATTTTTCACGATCGCATTACTTTCCTTGCTCTACATAAAATACACAGGTAAGTAAAAGACCCATGCAATGAATTTTGACCTTCCCACTCTAGTTACAATACACGGCTTTAGGGTTTTGGGGGGAAATAATTTATAAAGTTTTACCATTCATAGGAGCTTTTCTTTTAGGGTCAGGAATAAAATCAAGAGTTACCACCTGCCTGGTGAATGAAACGTCCCCAAATTCGCGAAAAAACACTCCTCTCATCCTCCCCTCTCCACAATTGACATTTTGTTTCAGTTTTCTTCAACTAACTTCGAATCCATTAATTGGACGGAAATACTGAATAGGAATGAAAATATTCCTCATAAAATTCTACATAAAAAGTGTTCTATCAATAGTTTAACTAGTACTTATTAGTTTCGAGTAAACGGCTTTCAAAGTTGAGAACAGTTTAAATAGTCGTCCCGCGACCTTAGACCAAAAATGCCATTCGGGGGAAATAATTTATAAAGTTTTCTACTCACAGGAGTTTTTCTTTTTAGAGTTAGTAATAAGAATCAAAAGAGTTCCCACTCGCCTAATGCAGGAAACATCCCCAAATACGCGAAAAACCACTCCTTTCAAACCCCACAATTGGCATTTTATGTCAGTTTTTTTTCATTTAACTTAGAATCCATTGAATGGACATTAATAATGAATAGAAATGAAAATATTCTTAATAAAATGTGCTCTGGAGCGAACCCCAATATGCTAGAAAGGGTTAGGTAGGGGTGTCATAAAGAAAAAAATTGTTTTTTTTATTGAAATTTGCAACTGTATAAATGATAAATATAACAAGTAAATATGAAACAAGTAACATGACATGTACAACATCCTGGAAGCACTAGCAAATCCAGGATTTAATTTTGGGGGGGCTTCAGCCCAAAAACATTTTTTTTCATAAAAATAACGATCATTACTTTGTAAAAAAAAAAAAAAACTAACTGCCTAAATGAAATGGTGTTTAAGTGATTCCTAAAGTCCTTTTAAATGTGATTACATGAACAATAATACTTTAAGAGATAGTTTTTTAATATTTTTTCATAAAACATGGTTCATTTTACCATTTTGGGGAGGAGCTTCAACTGGATGAGAATTCCAGACATGAAGAGAACCTACCTATTGGTAGCACTCCATAAACAAAAGTAAAAATGGCTCCTTGTTAGACTCAAAGTTTGAAGGAAGTTAGGGATCGAATAGATAGATAGATCTAAATAGGTTTAAATATACAATGAAGTTTAGATATTTAAGGTATAGGATAACTACTCAAAACGAAACAAGGAGGAAATTAAGACTAGGTTGAAGGCAGGAAGTGCTTGTTATTTTTCTGTTGCAAAAATAAGTCCAGGTCTTCTGTCCTGACGCTTTACAATTGGAATTTACAAGACCATTATCCTTTTTACGGTTCTTTAGGAATGCGAAAGTATTGAGTAATTGGAAGTGCCTCTTTATATTTTTGATTTTTCAAATTGTAACCCAATTTCCAACAAAAAAAACATCATTATTTGAAACTACCATTAAAGCTCAAGCGTTATTTAATCTATAATGTATATATTTCCATTAAAATTATCGATTGTTAAGTTTCTATTTTTGTTGTTGCATAAAGAAGCAGGTTTCTTGGTAACATTGTGTGGTAATTTAAAATTTCATATTTACCATTACTATTTTTTGTACATTTACGTGTTTGTTGCAGGGAGTTTGGTACTCCAGTGTGCAGCTCAGGATGTACCCTCCTTTGATCCTGAACATCCACTCCCAACAGTGGTTCCACACAAGCTCGGTCAGCATCAAGATCACACAGGACCACTAGACAGACCAGAGCTACTGACGGATCATACCCACTTCGTTTCTGGACCAAACGTCCATCAACATCATCACACTGGCTTCTTCCACAATGTACCTCCAGCTCCAGAACCCTCAGTGAACAGCTACATTGCAACCCTCAGCTACGGTGAGGGGTACCCTACCGTAATCTACCATTGCAGCCATACAGAACACAAGCCGACCACGCCATACACCTACGGTCCAAGTGGACATGTCTGTACAGTATCATTCCTGAAGGATCCGAGGCGCTCTCAACGCAATGAAGTGATAGATAGGATAATAGGAACAATATTATTAATGCCCTGGATGAAAGAGCCAAATTCCAGAGCCTTTTCAATGCCTGCTCCGATCCCGCTTTTGTTTGCCTAACATTGTGTGACAAACCATTCCTAGTATATATTTTAAATAAATTTGTAATTCTATTAATTTTTCTTATGTATTGTATCATAAATTATTTTTTTCATAAATCAAGACTTTCCACATCGTAGTTTTATTGCTTTTACACCATAGTTATTTTATAAGACGACGATTCAGCAAGCAGAGGCCATTTTTAATTCTGAAAAATGTCTTCTTTAAATTTTAAATTTATTTATTTTATTTAATCTCCTCCTCTTCTACATCACAGCAGCGCGATGATTCCTTTGGTAGAGCTTGATCCAGGAATCTCTGTCCTAAACCATCCGTCTTCTTCCCAATCCCAGTCCTCCTGGATTGCGACTTCCGATGTCTTCCTAGACCTCTCGAGCTGATAATATTAAAAGGATAAAATGTAATAAAAATATTAATTTTTCGAGAGGACTATAAAGCATTAATAATTTAGAAATGATATTGTTTTAAGATTTTAACTGCTATTTCTTTTAAATTTTACTATGTTCATTTCTGCCCTATATTGAGAATAAAATTTAATCTCAAAAATGAAATTTAATCAACAACTTTATGTTGCTAAAATGATGTATGTACAAAAACTACATATTTGTGAATTTCGATATTTTTTATGATCATTGGCTCGTTTCTTTTAAGGTATAGAAGCATACACATACCATGCTTATCAAAATGTATTATTCATTTGTTTAAAATTTTAACATTATAATTTTTTTAAAATTATTTTGTACAGATACTCATATAACTAACAATGGGTCCGCTCACAACTACTATTTACAACTTTATGACAAATTCATAATTACAAGTACGGTGAGCATACCAATTATTGACTTTAAATATAAATAATAAGTTTCCTTGTTGATTAAATATCTCTCCAATTTTTTTAGATTGAAGAACAATGCCCTTTATTGACAACTGTATGAAGAAAGTTTTAAAATGCCTATCATTGTTGTTTCCCTAATGCTCTTGAGATCAGTGTGTTTCATACCTTCCTACTAACAGTTTTGTTAAGAGTAAGTTGACATTTAACTTATCGTTATCTTAATAGTTAAATAAAGATTTTAGAATTTTTTTTTAGTTATTTCTATTACTGCTACCGACCCCTTGTCCATACTAGAACATTTGAATTTCATGTGTCCATCACCAGTACAAAAAAGGTGTTTTTTTTAAAATGGAAATTATACCTGCATAACCAAATTTTTTTTCAGTTTTAAAGTGTTAAATAGAAAAAAACAGACCCTAGAGATTATAAATGTCCAATAGAAAAGTTTTTAGCTATAATAATTACGGCGGCATAAGCCAAAAATGACAAATATTTCCCTATGTTCATCACTGTTGCGCTTGCCCTAGTACAATAAAAAAATTAAATGTTTATTTCACTAAAACAAAATTATACCCAGTTCAGTATACCAGATAAAATGTAAAAAATTACTAGATACCCAGAAAATCTGAGCAATACTAATGAAAACTGGTGAAATCATGTATGCAATGATAAACTGCAATATGTATATCGGAATAAGGATTAAAAATTAATGGTCTTTTAGTGAATATTAATCAATAATTGTTTAAAAAAATCACCAGTACAGTTCATCTTTGAGTGTCAACAGTCATATGTCAAAAAGAAAGAGTTTACATGTCAAAACAAGAAAATATCAGGCCAAGTCTTGAGCTGACTGAAGGAGGTATGTTGAAGTAAAAAAACACAGAAGAGTTAATAAAATATTTGTACTATATTTTTATTTGTATCTAACATTCCATACAATTAAATCAGTCTTGTTTTTTTTTTTTTAACCTTTTGAATAGTTAAATCACTGTTAATTTTAACAATAAAAAATTGAATAAATACAATAACATGCTATAATATAAATATATATTAATAGAACTGTATTAGTCAAATTGTATTCATATTTACAATATATTAAAGATTATTATTAATGATCCTGATGAAATTCGGTTATGATGTTCAACATCAAAATTGGTCCAATCAATGAAGTGGTTGTAGGAGATTATTTCAATCCAATAAGCTGCTGAAGTCTCATCTTGTCCGAGACACCCTGGACTTAATACTTTCACGAAGGACATCCTGCAGAATCATATATATAATATATATATATGAATGTTTAGTGTCTTTATCATATAAGCTCACAATCCTGAAAATAAATACCAATTTTATAAGCAAAAGTTATGTTCTTGAATGATCCCATGGCATAATGAAAAAAAAATTAATTAAAAAAAAAACAGACTACAGATATTGGGAAATTCTATCCACCCTAAGGGAATGTACTTCCGTATCTACGGAAGCAGTTTGGCAGATTGATAGGAAAATTTATATCTACGAATAATTTAACTCAGTGTAGGGGTCAGATTCCTTCCACAACAAATTGCGGCTCTAGGCAAATATATTTCGTTCTGTATATCGGTGCATGCTAACATCTGAACGTCTCGATGTGTGATTGGAACCAGACTAATATAACAAGTTAAAATATTCGCATATGCCAATTTCCCTATCAATCTAACAAGATGTTTCTGTAGATAAGGAAGTAAATTCCCTCAGGGTGGACAAAATTTCCAAATTTCTGTAGTCTGTTTTTTTTTAAATTAAAATTTTTTTTTTTCGTAATTGGTAAATGGTTGACTGTCATGAATAATAATAAGAAGAATAGTTGGGGTGATCAGTCAAATAAGAAGGCAAAAATAAATGATAATATTGATTTTGACATTAGCCGACGTTTCGACCTGAAGTTCAGGCCATCATGAGGGCTAAGAAAAGAACCAGATAACGAGGTATGAGAAACATAAGTAGTGTAGGTAAAAAAATTAAAGTAAAATTCAGTTGTTAGAATAATGACAATAGTAAGAACAAAGAGATAAATGATAATAAGCGGTACAAAGTGTGGAATGATGAAGTAAACATAATAAAAAAGAAAAAGGTGACATAAGTATTAAAATGGGAATCTTAGAATAAAATGTAAAAACAGAAAAATATGAAGTTATATAAGAAATGGAAATAAACAGTAAAATTAAGATATTGTGGATAGAATAGTTAGATAGATAATTGAGATGTTGTAAAGTCTATCAAGATGTATAGACAACGTATAATATAATAAAGAGTTAAAACAGAGCAGAGGGATGAAAGGAAGGAGGAAGGAAACTGAGAAGGCTGAAAAAAAGAAAGAGAAGAAAGAAAAAGAAGAAAACCCACCTGACTGCGGAGATGTAATCTAAGCAATGAGCGAAAAAATATTTTTTATCTTTATTTTTTAAAATATTACAATTCATTTTAAAAACATATGATCAAATCGTTATCATATAATTTGCCAGAATTTTGAGCTCGAATTGTTTTAAAGTACTCAGGGGATCTAAGCGAATAATTTGAGCCATCAAACTTTCTAAAAGAATCTGTTTAAATATAATATCACTGTCAAGAAACATAATTTTTTTTTTTATTTGTCACCAAGACCCTTCAGAACTATAATGGACCCTGTGTTATAAAGCTCGAAAATATACAGTTTTCAAGATAAACAATAATTCTAGACGAAAGCCTCTTAGGTGCTATGGGCCATCGGATATTTTTTATATATTTAGGTTTTAAAAATTAAAATATTGATATTTATGATAACCTTCGACGATCTAATATTCTATTGAAAAGAAAAATGGAGAAGAATAACTCTATGATCCCTTAGGCACTTTGAATAATATTAAAAAAATATCCATGTTTAGAGCTAATCACTTACAGGACCGCCTTGATAATCTGGACAAGTAGACTGCATAGCCTGTTCAGATTATCAAAGGTTAACTTTAAAATAAGAGAAAAATTGCACAAGGTAACAAAAATATTCACAGAAGTCTTTTGTAACAGAAAATTACAAAAATACATTTGAATACAATAAGATGTCAATTAGCATAAGAAAATTATACAAACAGTATTTGTATTATTTTTTAAAATAAATTTCTATAAGGGGGTCAGTAATTCGTCAAAACAGCTCAAACGGTTGTAAAAGAAAATCGAATAAAAACACTTAAATCCTTATTTTTATGGCTAAATAAAAAAATATCAATGTTGACTTGCAAATTGGTTTCTCAATTTTCCATGGTATTTAAATTTTGAGATATTTTAGTCTAAATATTCAAAACAGTCGTTATTATTTGGTTCATTGGTGCTATCTTTTTCCCTTTCTGACTCTCTAAGTTGGCATTACGTCAAAATACAATTTTGAATTATATCTCATTTGAAAGAGAATAAAATGCTGAAAATTTTCCTTACTTCCAGTATGTAGGTACGATTTTTAGTTTCTGAGATATTTTAACAAAATTGTGATCCAAGCGATGATATCAATCTTAAACTACTAAACAATATAAATATAAAATAAATAAACATACCTGAATAAATCATATCCAGCTTTCTACCATTTAGGCCAGGTCGTCCAAGACAACTCAATGTCTTTTCAAACCTTAATGCTACTCAACTTTTCTTCCTTCACTTATTACTTCTTATTTAAAGTATCTTGAGCTCTCTTAGGTCAACTTTTGTTCTTGTGTTTCCATCCTGGTTGTTTTTAACGGCAGAGGTTATAAATGAAACCAACTGTTCAGTCTCTCCAACTGATTTTTGTGCGATTCTCACTGTTAATAAAAAAGACATCAGTAGAACTATAATAATTTTTAAAAAAAATCTTTTAACTCATACAGTTCTAAAATTTAATTAATTTTTATTTTCTTAATTTTCAGATAGACAAGTAAGGTGAACACACTAGTTACGGACAGAGGGGTCAGTGATGGACTTTGAATGTAAATAATAAGCTTTCTTGTTGATTTAAAGGTGCCAGTTTTTTCTATATTGAAGAACAATACCCTCTATTGACAACTGTATGAACAAAGTTCCCAAAAGAAAATTTTAAAATGCCTATCACTGTTGTTTCTATAGTGCTCTTGAGAACAGTGCGGCATTTCATACCTTTCTACTAACAGTTTTTCTGAGAGTAAGTTGAATATTTATCTTATCTTACCTTTGCAGCTAAATAAATATTATAATAAACATTTTCTGAGATATGTTCATTACTTGTACCGATCCCTTGACCATTAATAGAACAATTGAATTTCGGGTGCCTGTGAACTGTATCTGGGTAATATAATTGAGGTAATTTCATCGTGGCTAATCTAATGGGCTTGTAAAGTTGTTGGGCTTAGTAACGAGAGAATTCCTAAAAGGTTAATATTTGCTGTGCTGAATGGTAAGCGTCTGAGGGGTAGACCAAAGCGAAGGTGGGAAGATTGCATTAAAGCCGATCTGAAGGGACTGGTTTTGGACGGCGAACGGTGGAGGGAGGTATATAATAAGCGATTGGTGATGTCGGCATCTAACCTTCGGGTTCGCTAAGCCTTTTATTATTATTATTATAAGAAAAAGGAGATCCTAGAGATTCTAAACGTCAAACAAAGAAGTTTATAAGTATAATAACGGCGGGATAAGCCAAAAAAGACAAACATTTCCTTATCTATGTCCGTCGCTGGTGCGCTTACCCTAGTGAAAAGATATTACATTGTAGTATAGAATAGAAAGTTTATATCAATAGTCATAAAAATTTATTTATTAATCCAAATTTGACTGTTTTTCTGACAAACTGGCATTGATAGGCCTATATTTGGTGCATTTACCTGCTAGCAAAATCAATTAATTATACAATATTAGTGAGTATACCTTATTGCGCACATTTTGGCGAGTACGTAAAGGGCATCGAACCCATGTCAGATGCTCTCAGAATCATGATACTGATGATATCGGGTTGTGCGGAGAACCCATTTGGCTGAGAACTTGATCCAACCAGTGAAGTGGCCCATGGAGATGAATTTCGACCCAACATGGTGTCGAAGTCACATCTTGTCGCAGATACTCTGCACCCCATCCTTTCACGAAGGACATCCTGTATAACAAGATAATAAAAAAGGATTAGTAATTTCATTGTAAGATCTAAACTGTAAAAATAAATCCTCTTATTATGCAAGGGTCATGTGTATTATTGATTGATCTTATCACATTATAAAAATCAAATATAACAATTTTACACATGAAATTAGATAAGATGAGGTATGTATGAGCTTAGAAAGGACATGGAGTTCAAATTTATGGCAGATTAAAACTAATAGTCCATGGCATAGACATCTTTTTATCAAATTATTAACATCTGCTTAAAACTTCTTAATAGCTTTATCTCATAGTAACCTAAAAATATTTTATTTACAAAAATTCTTGGAATTGGGGTGTTTTTAATCTGGATGTAAGCAAACTTTGTCTATTTAATTAGGTACTAAAAACTCATGAGTACCCATTTGCTTTCATCTTGAATCGTAAAATAATATGAACACAAAATAGAAAAAAAAAGATGGCCCACAAAAATATTGTGCCGTTTGGCATGACCTACACCCCTCAAATGTAAAAATAACGAGGTTATATAGGCCAAACAACCCAATATTTTGATTCCAATAAGTTTTGTAATTAAAATATTTGTAAATTATGATGATATGAAGTTTGATTGATGTCATTTTTTTTGCAACATCAGTAAACCAAGATATAATAGCCAATTGTATCACTTCCTGGACTGGAATTACGCTAAGTTATTCTTTAAAATTATTTTGCTCTTATTATATCTTCTTATTTGTTTTATATATATATATAGTGTGTGAGTATGTGTACATCTTTTGTTTATAATTAAGTAAAGATTAAAGGAACACTTTTTTGTTTGTGGTGCAAGTGCCTTATATTATATGTATGTATATTTTTTTATAGGAAGTGGGGTAGCTCAGTGGCAGGATACTGAGCTTCCAAGGCTAAAGGTCCCAGGTTCGAATACTGGCTCATGGCAGAAAAATTATTTATTGTGTTTCATTGGCCGTGGGTAGATAGACCCTCCTGGGGCATACCCAGCCTCTATAAAGCGGGTACCCTTAATTAAAATAATTCATTGTGGGGAAAAACCTGGCGGTTGACTGTGATCTCGCTCAAATCACCTCCTTGCCAAACCATAGACCAAGAAACAGTGCTTTCTCTAAATAGTACTGAACCCAAGACCCTTCATGGGTTGTAGTGGCACAGATAATAATATTTTTTTATATCTAATGTACGATTTAGAATTATATTAACTTTTATTGTTAATCTGATCATACCGGATAAGTTGTATGTACATGTTTATTATTCCAATGTTACCTGAGCCCAAAGTGAAGTTAGTTTTCAGTGTATTAGTCAATACCAATTTTTTAATACCAGATAGACAGACACAACACAAAAAATAAATGATTTTTTTTTTGCTGAAAAAATTAAATTGGTAATGAAATTACAAAAAATATTGTAACAAGCTAGGATTACTAGTTAATTGAATAATATTAGTGACTATACCTTATCGTGCACATTTTAGTGAGTTCATACACAGCATCAAACCCATGCCGCACGCTCTCTGAAAGAAGTTGAGCAAACTGCTGATTACTAAATATCCTTAAAGAACAACCTGGTGGGATCTTGCAGACGGTCGAGTGATGGAACCCATGGTGAACGTTACAGTTTCTAGACTGTATGAATATGGCAGCGTCTGACAGGCATTCGGCGTATACCTCTCCGCCGACGTAATATAAATGTACTCCTTAAAATTGAAATAAATAAATTAAATCCATTCTTAGATTAAATCATTTAACAATAACAAACAAAATTGTTATAAAAATGAAATGCCTAAACTAACTTTTCGAATAAACAAAAATTTTGTATTAGTATACTTAAAAGATTATATATAGTAATCTTAATGAGCTTGTACAAGAAAATATAATATAATTTACTTTTATATTCTAAATGCCTTCTATATTTTATACATTATATCATCGGCATCAAGTTAAAGTAACGAATATGCAACATTAAATAGGGTCAAGTTCATTACTTTAAAATAGTGTCGTCGATATGTTATTACACCTATAAATAAAGTGCAAAAATGCATATTACATTTCTGTTTTTATTACTATCAATTATTTATGATGTAATCAAAAGCTCCTTAAGATAATAAAGAAAGTAATTCTCTTTCTCTCTCTCTCCCACAGTAGATTAAAATTTTATATGGTTAGACAGACTTTCATCAGGCTATAAAAAAAATAATATGGAGTCGATCATCTTTTACTAAAATGAGATTTTGTTTTTTCTTACTTTGGAAGTAATTTAATAAAATCTTTCTTATTTGTATTATTTAAGATGAATATTCATAACATGTTTCTCCATAAGTTTCGGGCTCAACACTGCTCCATCTTCAGGTCACAGCTCATTATTGATAAAAAGAGATGAAATCCCTACTATAGTCTTCTTTACCATATTTTAAGATATTGAAAAAATTAATTATGGATTAATATCGAAATCAGAGGAGCTGACTTTCAGTAGCCCACCTGGAATATAGGAGAGTTCTTCCTCCTTACAAATATATTATAAATACATTTTTCCAATTTTTATTCTACTTGAAGGGGCACACTATTAATTTTTTATTGTAAATTTTCGTAGGAAATGTTAATAAGGTATTCTTATTATATTTGTTTACCATAAGCTATTAGTTTGACATATTGTGCTTTTGTTGATGCTCTCTTATTGTTTAATAATTTTCTTTCCATCTTTATTTTGTTAATGTTGCTAATATTTTTTTTTTTTTTTTTCGCATTGACCACTTAGGACTATGCAACAATCTCATTTCTTTTTACTTTCACTTACCTATATATGTAATATATTGTACGGGTAAGTATTGTGATCATGAAAATTTTTGAATCTGAGTTTTCAACAGAAATACACGTTGTAAGGTGCCCTGAGTCCAAATAACCAAGTCCTGCAAAATGGTCTGTGTGTGTGTGTGTGTGTGTGTGTTAACAGTATAGCTCAAAAACGAAAATTTGTACAGGAGTAAAATTTCATATTTAAGGTTTTAATATGCTAAGGATGTTACAGCAACTTTTTCGTGAAAATCTGCTAACCGGAAGTGGCACTTTATATAATGGACTAAACACATTTTTACCAATATTTCGAAAAGCGCTCAAGTGATTTTGATTAAATTCATCATATCAATATAAAATTAAGCAGTTTTAAATAAAATCTGATTATTATTCTGATTAAAGTACCTTTAATTTTTTTATTTGAAACAATTGACCATTTTGAATTAATTTCAAATATGAAAAATGGTTAAATATAAAATATGAAAGAATTTGATAATTAACTAAACAAGAAATAAGAGATCGTAACGGAGAAGAGTTGTAATTGAGGAACGAAAGGAATACGAGCGTACCCAAGCTCGCCCGAAGGATAAGAACACGCTTCCATACGTAACATGAGATTAATACAAAACGGACTCTGACAATATTTATATATATATATATATATATATATATATATATATATATATATGTGTGTGTGTGTGGTTTTAATAAATGCTATTGTTGGTATTATTTAATATTTAATTGTATAGATTACAGCGATATAAATATTAAAATTTGTATATATGAGAGTAATTATACAGATAAAAATACCGACAACGAAATATAAATAAATATAGAGTCTATAACTTTTTACTTTCACTTCGCTTTGTCTGAAAATACTTATTTCTGCTAAGAAAAAGGTGGTACATGAAAGTTGTGTGATGCGTGTACAGTACCAGATTTTTTGTATGAAGTTTCCTCTGCCTCCATTACTCCTTCATAAGGATGCTATGGCTGTGCTGATGCTTGTTGCTGCTTTATCTGTCCAAACTCTTTTAGTCTTCCAAACCTCGAATCATGTTCAACATCTGAACCTCCTGGATGTTGGACCTCTCTAGATCTTTGGGAACTTCCTTAATCTATGCCACAGTTGTCCTCTTGTTCCACAGAAAATTGAATATCCTTTTAGTTATCTAGTTCCGTTCAATCTGTAGAAGTGTCAAAGAAAAAGATGACCTCTTCTTTCTCATGGTCTCCGAGATTTTCTCCACATTTCAGTGAATTTCATTGTTTTGTTGCTCCAAAGTTCCCAGGCGGTTTCAACCTGGATTGGAATCATTATTTTCTATAATATTCTTCTTTTCAGTACTCCCAGTCTTTCCCACTTTCCAGCATTCGCTGGCATACAGCCATTCTGTTTTTAACACAGTGTTGTACTGCTTTAGTCAGCCCAAAGGTTCACTCCATTTTACTCAATTTGATTAATTTTTTTCATTATTTAATAAACCATTATTTTATATTTTTAAAATTGTTTCACAAATTTAACGTAGATGCTAGGTCATCCATTTAATATATTATTATTCCTTACTGTGTTGTTCAACCCAAAAGTTTTGACTTAATATTTAAAAGCCCTAAACATAAAGAATGGTAAAAAAATTATAACACAAAGACCTTAGTATTAATCCTTTCTACAAGTAAATGTATTAACTTGAATAAAAACTCTTATGAAAGAGTAAAATAAGAAAAAAATATTATTGATAAGATTCTCAATGAAATTTTCCAGTCGTAATAAATGAGTTTCAAAAAATGCAAAAAAAATGTCTTACCTCTACCAATATGCCTCCTCGTGTTCTCGATTGCGGCATTACGATTAACATTCGGCACCTGGCCTAGGCAGAATCTATTATTCATAACCGAACCTGGATTTGTGAATCCATCGATGACTACTGAGCGGGTCTGGCAATGGAATGCTTCGCCTACCCGACAATTGAGTTCATAGTAAGCGACAGTAGCCCAAAATGGCGGCTCCTAAAAATAAATTTTTTTTTTTTTAAATTATATTCTTATAAATGCTATGATACTTCCTTACTTTCAATAGATTAGGAATTAGATAAAAAGTAATTAAGAAATTATTAGCATTAATTAAACAAATAACAAAAGGATGACTTTCAGACAAATTAATCCCACCATTAATTAATTAAAACTAATGCCTAAACACGAGAGGCTTAATATCAAAGATGGACATCTGTAATCTTTAAAAAGTTGAGAAAAAGCCGATTTTGTGTTACATAACTTTAATTTAAACCAATTCTAATCTTTTTAATGATTCAACATGAAACATTCTTGAATAAAATCAGGGATCTCCAAATGTTTTGACCCATGGCCCACATTAAGACCTCGACTAAGTTATTGAGACTTGCACCCAAGTCCTGTGGGCCATGGCTTTAGAAAAACCATCTTTATTCTGCGACAAAGCTTCTTAAGAATAGACAATATTGTTCATACAAATAATCAATAAATCTAGCCAAGAGACCTGAGACCTGTTACAATAAAGAGTAACTAAAACATAAATAATAAGACAAGTCTATACATAGTTCTGGAGATCTGTTAACGAAATCAGATGAGCATTAGGGTTACAATACTGCAATACAGCTGTTAAAAATAATAAAATTAAAATATCTAAATGATATTAGACAGGAACGTTAAATCAATTTTATAGGCAAACCATTGTCATATATAAACGAAACAAATAATTGAAATAAAAATTAATTTAAATCTGTTCCTTAAAATGTTTAAATGAAGATTCGTAATGGCATTGTAAAAGGGTTGAAAATTCCTGTACTTTACATATGAAAAAATAGATTGAGTAAAAAAAAAAAATCTTATTCTATAAATGATACGTCAGCTCATTTCATAAGCTTTATTTATAAGAGACAAATCAAATGCAATAAATGTTGTAGTAACTTCGTGTGTGAGTAATTTACTAAATTTCACATTTTAAATAGTTTTTCAAATTTTATCATGTAATCAAGAATACTTTCGTGAATGAAGGTACATGCGGGTCGTAGTTTCGAGACCCCTGAATAAAATTATCAGAAACAGTTTCGAGTTGAACGTGTAATCCAATATATATATAATATACAATATAACATATAATACAAAAATTGACTTTTTCTCTGCTTTCTGAAAATAACAAATGTTCTAAATGCACCATCTGTTTGATGTAAAAGCAGCTGTCATGGAAATGAGAGAAGATCTTAATAGCATACCATCCTTAGGCTATTACAAAATAAAACAGGCATAACAAAAAATATTCTTAGAATCACCTGATATGAAATGGCCGAGGCTCCGGAAGCAGGGGCCGTATCCATCGCATTTGGATTGGAATATGTCTGGCAGTTTCCGAAATCTATAATAATAATAATATTGATATAAGTCAAAATTAACAGAATTTGTCTTCTAAATAATGTTACGAAAGAAGTTGTTAGGTACCTGCAACGCCTTCGGAGTACTGACTCTGAGGAGAAGAGCTTGGGCTCATAATGCTACTGATGCTACTCATGGGCGAAGGTGGGCCAGCGGGCCCACTGAAGCCGCTATTGCTGTAGCTGACGTTCTGAGGCATCGACGGTTCAGGTACTTGTTGAAACGGAAGTAGCATTGAATGGCCAGGTGCGAATTCCGATTGGCGTGGAACGAGCACTGGTGGCAAAACTAAAAACAAAATAAAATGAAAATATAGACTAAATTTAAAAAATAATAATATTTTCGCCATGAAAAATATGTCTAAGTCATAATATAATGCAGAAATGTACCGAGTAAGGCTTCTAGATACTATGGTTACCAACTGCGAACAGGCTAGCTAAAAAATGAAAAGCCGTACAAAACTGAAATTGAGTAGTAAGGTTTGCACATAGATCGGATGGGATAGCAACTTTTTAGCTAAAATTGGTTAACTGGAAGTGCTACTTTATATCATCGATTTAAGACATTTTTACGATTATCTCAAAAACAGCTCTAATGATTTTGATTAAATTCATTACATCAGTGCAAAATTAAACATTTTTTAATACAATGCAGGTCTTATTCTCATTGATGTTCTCTATCAATGTTTAAATGCTTAATTTTCAAAATTTTTTCTTCTATAGTACATTTAATTTTTTTTTTTAATAATTTATCATTTTACATTGGATATAAAAAAAAGTTGAATATGAAATACAAGAAAATTCAATAATGATGTAAAGGAGAAGTAACCTAATAAATATAATAATAAAGAACTGACGAAACCCGAGCGCGCAGCCAAGCTTTGCCGAAGGTTAGAATAGCCTTCTACACATCATGTGTGGTTTCCATAAAGCATTGATATTATTTAGTATTTGATTATATAGATTACAGCAATATAAAAATTAAAATTTATATATATTTATCAATGCTTAAACCAATAAAAATACCTACAAGTATATATACATATATAAAGTATATATAACTTTAGTGGCCTTCATTCTCTTCCCTTTGTCTGAAACTACTTGTTTCTCCTGAAAGAAGGATGGTAAGTGAAAGTTGTCTGATGTGCACACCGCACCAAATTTTTACTTTAACAGTCCTGGTAAAGTGTGAAGCTTCACCAATAGTGTGTGTTGAATAGACTATTTTGATAATATTATATTGTACATACGAATCAACATGTTTTGCTGAAGTCACATATACCTTAAATGCAATAGAGAGAAGAATAAGCTATCTAATGTGAGAATTCTCACTGAGGTATACTAGTTCATACTGTAGAAATAATTTTTTTTTTGTTAGTTTAAGTTTGTAAATCAAACTTAAGGTATGTTTAGACATTTCGCGAACTATAGCAGACACAATTATCTAATTGAACTAATAGCAACAATATTCCTAAACCAAACTATTTATTTTGTTTCTCCTGATACAAACAGAAGATTGAAAATATCAAAAAACAAGAAACTTTAATAACAACAATTTGCATAATATTCTCTAACTTGAGGTAATTTATAACTGAAATGTGGATGAAAAATTTATAATCTTTATAATATGGCATCATGAACTTTTAATTAATATAATAGGTAATTAAGTAAAACATATTTACCTGGACTTTCAATCCTCTTATAGTGATATGGGTTTATACAAATATCTTTCTGCTTCGATGAAAACGGATATCGGCAGTGTTCCATTGGCTTCAACTCATGATGCGACTGCAAATCTGGCCAACGCCAAACACGGCAATATATAACATGAGGCAATGCTTTTCTATGTGAAACCTATAAAAAAAAAAACAAGAATGCAAAATTAATTGTTTATATAATTAATATATTTATACAACTAAAATTACACAAGTGAAAGAATTTTTTAAGATACAAAAATCATTTTATATTTCATTCTTGATCATGGTAAATTCAAATGAATAAATTTCATGCAGTGCATGTTCAGAAAAATAGTGGTTTTGTTTTTTCTGACCTGTTCAACAAATTTGGAGAAATAAAGAACTATTAGATATTGTTGGAAATACTTGGTTACTTTCAGTAATCTTTGTACACTGTGATAAATATGATCTTGGACAAAGCATCATTCGGATGTTACAAGATCTACATTAGGGTGATTCGTTAATGCTACCATTACAAGTGCTACGCTCATATTAGGGGTAGTTCACAATCACATATTCATGGAATGCCAAAATCGATCTAATTTGGCAGAAAGATATGACGTCAGCTCTTGCCCCTACCATCCAATCTTATCACTCATTTTTCAAATACCTTTGTGTACCCATCATGAAACTTCCGGGAAATCGGAAAATCCATTCATTAAATACAAGAGAAAAAGTCAGAAAATGTTTCACTCGTTTCTCTTAACTCAGACTCAATAAATGGAGTTCTAACTCAAATTAATCGATTTATCTGTTGAACAAATTTGTTTATTGTTAAAGTTGGTCTATACTCTTGATTTCATATTTATTTACTTATTTTAATAATTTCTTTTTATTGAATGAATGAGCTCTCTATTTTTTGTAATTCATACTCAATAAACTGAAAACGGATTTGATATTAAAGGCAGCTACTAACAAAAAAAATTGAGTTTATTTAGATATTTATTTCCAAGGATGGAATGAGTATAGTGGGCATTACAACTGAGAAATTATATTTAAAAAATCTGGTGTGTGCAACACACAACTTTCACTTACCGCTCAAGTTTGAATATAAATTATTTTTTGGCAATGCTAAGCTATTATAATATTTTTGAAGTGCATTTTAGACGAAACTAAAGCTTAGAACTTACAAAGTCATTAAGACCATTATAATTACAAAAAGTCTATTTATTAGATCGACGGTAGGCAATAAAAATCTAGTCACTCTGCTTTTATAAACCCATTTTTTTAAGGCATATACCTATCTTAAATATGTAATATCAGTTTCGTACTACTTTTTGTTTTTGAGCTAGACTGCTAACATACAAACACACAGACCCTTTTTTGGGACTTAGTTATTTGGACAGAGTACCCCAAAACGTGTTTTTCCGTTGAAAACTCAAATTCAAAAATTTTCATGAACGCAATACTTATCCTTACTATATATTTCATATATACGTAAGTGAAAGTAAAAATAGCATGATACTGAATAATAGAAATTATCAATAAGAAAAAGTATTTATTGTAAAATAATATTCAGTGATATAGTTATTAAAAGTTTTGTGTCTATTAGATTTTTTTTATAGCTGAATAATGTAAATATAAACTCCATCAGAAACTAATTATGTTATGTAACTGTTCATGGTTAAGTGTATATATCTACTTAAATAGCAGGTAAGTTTAATTTAATTAACTAAGAGATTGGTTAGTACTATTACGAATAAACCCGAGGAATTTAGACATTCCATGAACAAGTGTGACTAAAATGATTGGGAGCCATATAATTGAATAAATCATACCTGCAATCTACCATCAAGGCTCCTAGGAATCGTAACACAATTGGTGGGCTGTCCAGGACAACTCAATGCCTTTTCGAGTTCTTCTAATGCTCCTTTATTTTTCTTCAACTTCTTAACCAAAGCATCTACGGCTCTCTCAGCCCACTTTTCTTCTTCATCGCTTTGTTTCCATTCTAGGAGTTTTTTTACAGCTGGAGTTGTAAACGAAAACCAGCTGTTTATGGTAGCTAGAGCACCCGACTTCTGCGGTGGACAGTTTTCCATTTTTACTGTTAAAAAAAAAATTTATATAATTACATAATTCAAACAGTTCTAAGATTCAATTAGAAGTAAGAAAACACCGACAAATTCAAGAAACTACCTTCCTGTAATTATTAATGATTTTCGAAATTGTAGAACAAAAGATATTAATGGAATGAAAAGTAAAAAAAAAAAAAAAAAAAAAATTGGAAAGTATGAGAAAAACAATAGTTATTTTATATGAGAGAATCTCTCGATGCAGATACAAGTGTTACATAACCGCGACAAAATATGTGATGAAAATGAAAGAAAACTGCAGTACTTACACAATACTAGAAGTTTAAGGCAAGAATCAGACAGAAAATACAGTTCTCCAGATCAATGGAGACTTCTCCAGCAAGACGAGGGTAATGATAGAATGTCACTACTATCAATAACACAAATAAAAAGTACCGTCTTATGAATTTAAAAATAGCAGTTTTCCCGAAAAATGTCCATCAATGCTTTAACAAAACAAAGCGCGAAGTCAACACGACCTATTTGGCAAGAATGTGACTAGAGATCGCTAGTGATGAATGAAGTATCGAGTGAAAAGTATCGATACTAAATATCTATACTCATTCGATAGTTGATAAAATTGCCTTTAACCTTTTATTATTTGTAAAATGATCCCTATCTTGACAAATAAAGTTTGTTTACTTCTTAATCGCTTTAAGATATTTCTAACAATCTTTCTATAAATAAAGAAGTTGTATGAATAAATAAAACTTTAATACTTAATTTTGTTTACTTCCCATTCAACTTAATTCATTAATAAACTAACTATATATTCTTTTCTTGTTAAATACATAGCTCCTTACATACTTTTATTATACATTCAAAGTGATTTATACATGGCTAATTTCTAAACTTAACTTATCGATAGCACAGGAATCTTCCCTTACACAACTGCAGGAATACAGGCGAGTCTACAAGGGAATTTTCAGGCTGAATCCCCCTCCCCCCCCCCTCACCACCAAAATGGAAAAGTTATTTCTCTTTAATTTCCCTGTATTTATTACTGTGTATGATCTAATCAAAATGCTTAAACAATACCAATATGTTATATTCATTAAATTATAATGCACCTACAACTACTGAATATAACCACGCCTTATGAAAAAAATATCTCTAAAAGTATTATTATTCTTGTGGTTACATTTTTAAAAGAATTTCAAGAAATAAAATCTTTTTGACCGAAGCCTCCTGAAAAGTTAAATCCTGGATCCGCTAGTGTACTAAAGGAAGACACTAACAAATCTTTCGTTTTAATTTAAACTTTAGAATGATTAAGGAGTTAAAAAGTGATAAATTTATAAAACATGGAGGATTTATTTATCGATTACGACAAATTGATTCTTCGCGTTTCTGGATCACTTTGTAGAATTAATATTAAATATTGTTTATTTGAAAGAAACATTATTAATTGATTGTCTCACATAATAACATCATAAATGATTTCTTTCTACATATCATAAGTGATGGATAGTCAGTATTTTTATTATTTATTTGAAGTATTTGAACACCTTCAGAGCTTGGAACACGGTTAGTAAGAGTAAATATTACATTTTTTTACATACATTATTTTTTTTAGTTTGGACAACTTATTACATATTTCATTTGTCTATTTCATTTATCATCCATCACTATTTTTTTTTTCATTATTAACCATTTTCTTTCTTATAATATTATATTTCTGATTATATTAAACAATTTTCAGCCCTGATAATGACCATACTTAGGTTGAAACGTCGACACCAATGACTGCTTCCTGACTATTTGTCACCTATGATATTGTTTTCTCTTAATTTTTAACGAAAAATTTTCATCTGGTAGACCTGAGGATTTAAAATTGTCTATAATCGAATTCAAAGTTATTAAGCAATGGATTTCTCGTTTTCAAATTTGGAAAAAAAATCAGTTTTGAGGTTGTCATGTGAAGCCATTGAAATGTCCGTTATAATACTTAAAAAAATAATTATAAAGAATATGTTAGATGTTAATTTAAGTAGGAATATTACTGTTTATCAATTATCTAAAGAAAAGTATCGATAACGGATGCTATCGAAAGAAAATATTGATTCAATTATTGTGAGCATAGGACGATAAATACAGATAACATAGACTATAGGATGTATGGAAACATTCCTATTTTAGACAAAGAAAGGGACCAGAGTATCTTAGTAGGTAGTGGGAGTATTGTTCTCAGGCCTTTCTAGGTACTATCTTCTGTCCTACACGGTCCAAAGAGATTCCATTGTTCAAGAACTTATCTAAGGAAAATTTGATAAAACAAAAGTTTAAAATAAAACAGCAATAAGAATAAACAACGATGTAATGAAATATTGACTGGCAGCTACAGATTGTTTGACAGTATTTAAACATTTTTAAAGAAACTAATTTTTAAAATTGCGTCCCTCTTCTATTTTGTACTGGATAGAACCTCGACAGTGACCACTCTTTATTTGTTATAAATATTTCTCAGTCTCATAAGGTTACTTCGAATATAATTGAACAAAAATAATCAACAGATAAAAACCTAATACTCACTATGCAGTTCGATGCTAACAATTTTCTTTAATGTAGCACGGACTGTAATTTAGAATAATATCTATATAATTCTAAAATATTAATGCTTTAAAAATAAAATATAGGGTATAATTGTACGTTTTCAAAAATATTAAAACTGAAACTTCTTCAAATCAAAATAAACATAAAGCCTAAAATAAATGATAATAAAAAATATATAAAATAACATTGAAATCCGCATTACCATCAATTTAATTTAATTTTATGAACTTATACGACATTTCATCCAATCACATTCTCAGGTATAATAAATATACCACTACTTTCTATTTACCTTGACAATCTTTAATATAATAATTAATCTATTTCAGATTTTTTAAGATATTAAAATCTTCACACACTAGCGGAATCAAGGGCTTTCTGGCCTAAATCCCAAAAAATATACATTTTATTTCATCAGTTTATTTTATTTTTTGTTTCTATGAGTGAAGTATACAGAATACTTACAAAAATAAAAATAGATTTCTATTTTTAAATTATAACAAAAGTAATTCAACAACAAAATGTAAGGCATTTAGGAAGAGAAAATATTAGTTCTTCCCTCTCACAAAAAAAAGAAAAAAAACAAAACAATCCCCTAATTAAATAAAATAAAATAATTAGGGAAAAGGGTTGCAACCTTAACTTAATAATACACTATTAATTCGCCTTAAATATCACTGTAAAAATAAAATTAAACTTTTGAATATAAAAAAAATGATATGTATATAAAATCCAGTAGGTACAAAAACTAAAATAATTCTTCAGATGAAATAAACCGTAGATTTTTCATAAAAATAACGATTTCACAGATTTAATTTTTATTGTATGCTTTAGGTGACGGTTTTTTATTATATTGATATTAGTGAACGTACATATTGTACAAAAAAGTTCAAAACCGCAAATTTAAAAAAAAATTGAATATTTAATAGTTGACCGTTGCATTATGGTCAGTTTCATAGTTTTACCACTATTTAGCCTTTTTATGACCGCAACCCCGGACCATCTCCTTCATTTAAAAAAAATGTACTTAATGGCATATACGCAGTTTCCATTTCTATTAGGGGGGCGAAGGATATAATAAAAATATAATTATATATATATATTTGTTGGGAAGTGGTAGAATTTGTTTATGTGCATATCGATATCCTTAAAAAAATCTGAACAAACAACTGGATTTATTAAAATTTGTATACAATAAACATGCAAATTATAGGTACATTTCTGTAGCTTTTCCAACTGAAAATGAAAAATGTAAAAAAACGAAAAATATTTTTGATTTTTTAGTTTAACAATCTTAAAATATGTGAAAATGTCCATGAAAATATTCTCTGTAAAATATATTTATTTTTCAAAATTTATCGTAAACATTACAAGAAAATCACATGAAAATGTAGATGTCCACATGAGAGGTAAATAAATCATAAAATACTAGGAAATGTTTTTTAATTTTTTTTTCTCCAATAAAACAATGTAAATACTTGTAGTGATGGATATACTGTTGAAATTGTAAGAGTAAAAAAAGGTTAGAATGTTAAGTTAGAAATTTATTTATCGAGTTTGGGCCCAAACCGGCAAACTCGATTAACAAATTTTTTATTACAAAATTTTTACAAATTTAAATTTTAAAAACATCAATAAACTTTGTTGAAAAAACGTTTGTAAACAATTTTACAAAATACTTTAGAATGGCTTTATAAATGTTTCAATATTTGTTTTGAGTTGTTTATAAATGTTAAGACTTAAGATTTAAAATTTTAATTTTTTTTCTCCTCTATTTTTTTTTTTTTGCAAATAATTGTAACAATACCGATAAACAAATATATCATTATCGTGGTGAAAAATTATAATGAATTTTAAAAGATTTTAAAAAAATTATGTTACTTACCGGCTAAGGTTTAAAAACCAAAAAAAAATCAATAACACTGTAAAAAATAAAATAAACTACAACACTTCGAAGATGGTGTTATGAGAAAAACAAACGATAAATAGAACAAATGTTACACGAGGAGAAACATATGGTACCGTCAACGGTAAAAGCCAGGCATCATATGGAGCTTCTTGGACAACTCCAGCAAGAGGACGGTAGGAGCGATATGACCTTTCCAGGTAGAAGAAGTTCCGTCCTCTGACCTTTCCAGGTAGTGGAGTGCCACTGACCATTCTTAATTCGTCCATTCTATATATATATATAAACGTTTACCAAACGCCTCAAACTTTGGCCTAAGGCCACAGAAAGTATCCGATGCTTACGGCATAAACTGTCATTTACCTTAAAATACCCTTGGCTAAGCAAAGGTCAAGGAATAATGTATATATACATTCATAGATGTATGTTGTAAGTAGTGTTCAATAAAGTTTCTGGGGGGTCAGAAAAAAAAAAAAAAAAAAAAAAACGCCTCAAACACAAAAATAAA